TTCGTACAAATTGAAAAAATTATGCATGAGAATGATCCCCAAAGCCTTCTGCTTCTAATGCCGGGTCACAAAAAGCCGTATCTCATTCGCTTTGGCGGTAATCTGACTATTTATCATCATGTTGCAATCGCAGTTTTTTACTAAGAAAAAAATGCTTTCGTTTCACCTACAACACTTAACACAGTGTGTGCCCGTTAGTCCACCATAACATAGCCTTCCCTAATCATTTCTGAGTCGCATCGTGAAAGAATTAAGGTGCTAGCACAGGGCTGACCGGCGCTACAGAGGTTTTTATCCGGGCGGTCGGGCGCCGCAGTGGGCGCGCAGTGGGCGGGTGGGTGCCGCCGCGCGGCGTCCGGGCGGCGCGGCGGCGCGGCCGATCGGGCTGCCCGCTGCGCCGCGGCACCCGACTGTGCCGGACGAAAACTTCTGTAGCGCCGGTCAGCCCTGTGCTAGCGCCTTAATTCTTTCACGATGCGACTCAGAAATGATTAGGGAATGCTATGATATGGTGCACTAACGGGCACACACTGTGTGAAGTGCTGTAGGTGAATTGAAAGCAAATATTTTTGGTAAAAAACTGCGGTTGCAACATGATTACAAATAGTTAGCTCACCGTCTAACCAAAATAGATACGGCTTTTCATGACGTGGCATTAGAAGCAGCAGGTTTCGGGGATCATTTTCATGTATAATTTTTGCAGTTTGTATGACATGCACGCACGCTAGCGGCACTTGAATTTCAAGTACCTGACAGTCATTTTTACGACATCGAAAATGTCTCGACTTCTGACAATCCTACACGAGGCCGGTTTTGACAAAAACATTAAAATCATACTTTTTCAGACACCCCAAACATTTGCCTGACTAACCATATTACGATTTATTCGATTAAGTGAACCTGAATTTTGGGCCTTTTTCGTATTTATGGCCACTCGTGAACCCCATTTGCATCACTGTGCATTGGTCTTCTTGGCGAGCACCCTGGGTCCAGTTCATATAGAGTCCCTGGTCCCATTGCTGTTACGTGACACTTATTGGAAAGGGCGACCCCACATGGATTCATATAGCCACTCTTACACACCTGCACCAACGTTTCCCAAAGTGTCCCTTTGATAAGTGGCACTTTGGCAAAGTGACACTTGCCGACTGGAATTTCTATATGAACTGGGCCCGGCCCTGGCGAGTTGCCGGGGCTGAGCCTGACCAAAGGATAGGCCGAGCAGCCCCCAAGCACTCACCGCACCCGGCTACGGGCGAGCTCGGCTTACGGGCAATCCCAAATGGGATAAAGTTTCCCGTCCAGTCCGGATCAGGGGGTTGCGGCGTGGAGGAAGATTTGAGTTTCCTGATGATATTTTGAATACAGAAGCTCTTTATGAAACATGAAACATGTATTTTATATTATTTTAACGGTCAAAACAGCGGCCGATGTCGGTCCGACGTCGCCCCGACGTCGGACCGACGTCGGCTGGACCTCAGCAATTGATCTCGGTCCGACGTCGGCCCGACGTCGGCTGGACCTCGGCTGGACGTCGGAACATGCGGGCATATCCGACATCCAGCCGACGTCGTGCCGAGGTTGGACCGACGTCGGGCCGACGTCAGCATGCCGATGCCGAGTTGCCGACGTCACCCCGACGTCGGCCGACGTCGGGCCGACGTCGGCATGTTTACTGGGGTCTGCTGAGGGCTGTACTTACCAAACAGCAGCCACCTTCCGATTTATGGCACAATCAAATGCATTGTTTGGTCCACCGACTGCATTGCCTTATATGTAGGTTATTATACTTTGATGCGATACTTCTGCATGCATTTCTTGGCTCCCCGACTTGATCTCTACCTGCGTCACCGGAATGAAAATAAATTAACTCTATGTTCGACAGTACCTTTGCGTGCTTTTGTCTAACCCGCGACCCTCGGGGAACGGAACACCCAAACGTGGTCCATAATTGAGTATGCCCATTGAGTTTATTCAGTAAAATTACCCATTAGACGCGTCGCGCACACATCCTACTATGAACGTCAAACCCCTTGAGACCCCACTTTTTTGCGATAATTTTTAAATGCGTCAACTTTCGTTGACAATATTCTGGCAATGTATGTTTCAGAACCTGCCGAAACTTTTATTACTAAGGTATTTTGACGCCAAACGATTGTGGAAGGTACTTCTCATTCACTCGTAATGCTAAGGTCAATTCAGGCCCGGGCAGAGGCTTGCGCTCGGCCACACTCGAGCACCGCCACCAGCGCCATCTGCTCTAAATGCCATCTACCAGCGCCCGCTACCGCTACCAACTACCGCCCACCATCAAGCCTGAATGGAGCGAGAGACGCGAGTGACCGGTCGCCGGGCAAGGAGCGCCGGAGGGGTAGGGCGGAGCTTAGCGCTGACGTCATTACGTGGCTCCGCCCCGTGAGCGCGTAGCCTCTACCCAAACAGCAGATTCGTTCCGTGAAATTTAACATTACGAGTGAATGAGAAGTGCCTTTCATAATCGTTTGGCGTCAAAATACCTTAGTAATAAAAGTTTCGGCAGGTTCTGAAACACACATTGCCAGAATATTGTCAACGAGAGTTGACGCATTTAAAAATTATCGCAAAAAAGTGGGGTCTCAAGGGGTTTGACGTCCATAGTAGGTACTCTTGATACCTATACTCAGACAAGTCTAACGGTCTGTTCCAGTCGCACTTCCTAACACCTCTAAACTCCTCCAAGATTGCTGTCCTGTTCCAGTGGCAGCTCTAGCCCGGGAGCCCATACAAAGCCAAGGAGGGCCCTGCTCTAACCTCCTCTATTCTAGCTCTTGGAGGAGTTTAGAGGTGTTAGGAAGTGCGACTGGAACAGATCCTGGACCTATGTTTTCAAGAAATGAGTGTTAGGTACCTGCTGATAATTTCGAGTCGAAATTCTCAGCCATTTCTGAGCTATCAGCGAAAAACAACAGGGGACCTTTGCCCCCCCCCCCCCAAGGTCGCGGCTTTAATCCAGTGAGGACTCGTCCTCACCACCGATTGTCTGGTGAGGGCTGACCGCCAGCCCGGGAAGGGAAGTGTGAGGAGGATGCGGAGGGGTTTGTTCTGAGGAATAAAGACAGACGTGATGACGAGCGAGTGGCGACTCATAATGACCGAAATGAGGACGACAGGGCCAGGGATTGAGACAGTAAATGTCTTTGTTTTGAAATAACCAAACGCAGGAAAGTGCTCCGAAGCCTATGGTCTGTGTGACGGAGTCCGGGATCGTACATACCTTCCACCCGAGTGCAAACCAGGAACCACCAAACTCTCAGACACCAGCCAGCCAAAAAGCGCCACCTATGTATGTGGCTCCTCCGATACCGGCCGCCGGCCGGTCATCAGCGTCATCACAGACGTTCAGATGTGCAGAGGCTAAGGTCGCAAATTTCAGTCTTAGAGAGGAGATCTGAATCACATAGGAGACTTTTTTTAGCTTACGAGTGCTTTAATGCCGGCATGTTTCTGCACATTTTCATTGCTGCATAAATTCCTGCTATTTTCTGTGAGTTTGCCTCTACAGTAATGCCCTAAAAGTCGATCAAATCTTGGTTTAACCCGCGCGGGGCTGGGGTCTCCAGCCGAACGCGCGGGGCTGGGGGGGGGGGGGTAAATTTTACCCCCTGTTATCTCCCGAACTAATGGTCCGATTTGGAAAATTCAAACGCCAATCGAAAGCTCTCATCACGAACTACTAAAAACATGTACTTAATTTAAAGTTTGAGGTCAAGGTCAAGGTCAGGTCAAGGGTACAAATTGCAAGTTTCTACAGTATCGGCCTTGCACCGTAGTTGCCGAAGAATGGAGTCATGGACTGAGACTGATCGCCCAAAACGTGTTCTTAGGCTACCAAGACAATATTCGTTGCATACAATATCATTCAGAGGTCAAGGTCAAGGTCAGGTCAGGTCAGGTCAGGTCACCAAAAAACAAAATATAGAAAAGGGCATGTGCGACACATGTTTTATGGGTCATTTTACTCATAGAATTCAATAGGCACACTCAATAAGTGATATGGAACACCTCTGGATGAATTTCAGGTCGAGGTCAGGTCAAGGTCAGGTCAAGTGAGGTCAAATTTTGAAGTTGGTTGTTAAGGCCTAAAAAGGTGTCTATCTGATGCAGTTTTTCACGGCGAATCGAATGGTGCTATTTTTGTTTCCATACGAGGTCTAGAACTTCCAAAAAAGTCATTTTTCAAAAATTTTGTGTGTCGTGACGTCATAAAATTTTGAATAACTCCCACATTTTTGAACCGATTCTTCTAAAATTTGGTATGTAGGTGCACATAGACCACTTCTCTGACATATATTCCGGTTTTTTCGATAGACTCAAAATTATTAGAAGGATGAATAACCTGTTGCTCATTTCTATCAGAAATAGAAAAAATAAACCATTATTGGTTTATTGGTTTATTTGTTCTATTTCTGATAGAAATGAGCAACAGGTTATTCATCCTTCTAATAATCTTATTAACAATGCTCAGCTCAACGTTCAAATACCTGAAATCATAGACTCAAAATTTTGGATTTTATGATTTTCCCAAAAAAATCAGTTTTTTGAAAAAATTTAGGCCAAAATCCAAAATTTTCAAAAAACCGAGATAGCCATTTGATAGACAAAGTAAAATTACGTATAACCTTTTTTTGTTACGTCTTGATTCCTTTAAAAATGAAGATGTTAGCGGCGTTTAAACTTTTGCCGTTTTTGAGGCGAAAATGGCGAACATGACGTCATTAAAACGTCAATTTCTCAAAAATTTTCCGACGGATTTCGCTCAAATTTTCAGGGAACGTGTCAAATTGATATAAGAAAAGGTACTGAAAGTTTGGCGGCGCTGCGCGCCGCCGTTTTTGAGATATCGCAAAAATTCGCGAGGGGGGGTAAAATTTACCCCCCCCAGCCCCGCGCGGGTTAAATTGTTGCACTGCTGTCGTTCCGCCAAACACCACCAAACATAACAATGGGATAAAAACACCGCGTTGTACAATGAACGTTGGGATGTAGTTTGGCAGCGAGCCGTCCCATTACCGACTGTCACAGAGTCTCAGAGACGTGACAACACATCCGCCGCACACCAAAACTGAGTGCGATGTGACCAACGACCATGCTTTAAATCGGCGCAGTGCGGTACCAAGACTGAACACTGGGCGCTCTGGACAATACATACACACATCTGGGGTTCTCGCTCGCCGCAGAGTCGTAAATACCGTCCCAGACCAGCGTAACATCACTAAAACACCGCCGCACCATCGCCACGAGTCCGCCCAAAATGCCTCAACAGGGTGCAGCTCTCAACACGGAGCGCTGGCACGTCTCCTTCGCAAGATGTCGTCCGAACAAATATCGCATAACAAGATACACAACCATACACTGAGCTCGAGCCACGCAGCAGCACGCCTGCTCTCTCACAGATCCGATCAACAGCCACAACCGCGAATACACAATCCGTCATATTCGTTAACATCTAAACGGTACAATTCACAACCAGCGAATTTGTGTGTGCTCGTTTTACGGAGCACCGAATGGACGGTTGACAGGAAAGACACACGTTATGGTGTATACGACGAGCTGCCCTATATGGCACAGCTCGGCACATGAAAACATTGTGACAGGGCCACGTCCTGTAAAGCAACAGCGGCCAGGACGGCTGACAGCACATCACGAAACAATCCATTCAGAAGCAACGTACAAAATCGGGTCGTGGTCCGTACGACATCGTGACGTGAGCGGCTACAGTCTGCTAGACATCGCGAAAACCGGCATCGACCCAGCCGGCCGACCGTCCACAATACCTAGCTGCCAGGCTCCACTTCGCCCAACTCCCGTCAGGTGGCACTGGTGTAGCGCCGCTCACAGCGATATAACACAACGGCAGCGATGTGCGACAGGCACGACCACGAAACACTGTGTTCGGCCAGACAGCTACGCATCGACAGCTGGGTGACAAACATAGCAGCTCACGCCGGTGAGGCGTCTCAGTCCACAGGACGATGCATTCAACAACGAATGTCACCGTCCTCGAAATATTGCTCCATTCGCTGTTGGCGGCATACTGTTTTCACCAATCGTGGCTGTAAAACCCCACAAAACCTACAAAGTTTCCGACAATACTCGTTATTCGTTACAACAAGTATTGCTCGGATTCATCAATATCACGAGCCCACTCACGTGCTGTGATTGAAGCTCACAGCACGGGTGGTCGAGGATAACATGGAATGTTGAACGACCTCGATGGGTGTTAGTTGTGCCGTATTAAGCTGCACAAACTGGATCGAACACACCGGTTATGCGCTAAGAATGCCGTCTCAAAAGACCTCAGCTGCCCTTAGTTTGACCAGCTAGCTGCCATCAGTGGACCTGTCAAGTTTCAACAGCCTTCAGGGTTCGACCACATCAGCCTCACCAGCTACAGAAGACCTCAGGTTGCAAAAAGATCAAAGATCTCATTTGAGCCTGCTGACGTGGTCTTTTTCATCACCCCTCCCTCTGAGATGGCGGTGTCTCACATCACCCCTCTGAGCTCGTTGGTTGACTTCACATCCCTATTTACCCCAACTCGTCTCTCAGAAGGCCTCGACTGTGGTCGCCGGTGACATATCTGTGATGTCCACCTCCCGCGGCCGGCGGCCACTCTCCGTTCGTCCCGAGCTGGGCACAGAGCCGGGTGGACGGAACGAGTCTCGCGACTGGAGCGAGGTGCCGCCGACCGACAGCGGGCGGCCCCCGGCGGCGGCGGCGGCGGCGGCGCCCCCCGTCGGCGGCGGTGTGGCCACCAGCGCGGGGTTGTCGTAGACGGCGCTGTAGTCGCCCGGACACGTGTCCTCGGAGGGGTGGCGGCTGCGGCGCTTCACCTCCTCGCCGGGCTTTGCCGAGAAGCTGAGACTGGGCCGGCCGCCGACGGCGTACTGCGGCACTGTACTCGACTTGGGGCTGATGACGGGAGGGCCGGCCGGCGCCTGCAGACGGAGATAGACACAGGTGAGTTAGAGGTGCACATCAGGTGACTGGTAAGAGGTGACCAGTGATCAAAGGCTACAATAATGCAGGCCACCAGGCCACAAGGCACAAGGCCACCACTGACCACAGGTCACCGCACATCACAACTCACAAGTCAACAGCTCACAATTCATAAGTCGCCAAAAGTCGCCTCAAGTTTTATAAGCGTCATACATAGGGCATATCAGTGATCGTAAGTCGGGCCGGCGCCAGCAACCACAACCACAACCACAGCGTCTGAGCAAAACCACATGCTCAGCAAAAGTCGAAGTTATACCAAAGCTAAATTATGGGGCAGTTTTATATTAACGCAAAAGTTGGTGAAAAATGAACATAAACGCTAGAAAATACCATGATTTGTTGACGGATTTATGTATGAACAGGAGCGCGCATAACATGCCTTCTGAATCGTCGAGATCAGGAAAGAAACATTTCTTACGGCCAGGCCGTTGGCGAGCTTGGCGCCGACCTTCTTGAGCTCGATGCTGTTGCTCTCGATGTCTGCCGTCTTCCTGCGGCGGCAGGCCTTGCGGTAGCTGGAGCAGGCGTAGAAGGCCAGGCCGACGAAGCAGACGATGAAGAGGACGAACATGACGGACACCATGATGGTGAGCCGGTGAACGTCGCCCTCCACCCGGGCCATCACTGAAGGAAGGGAGGACGGCAATGTCAAAGTTGAGTCATGAAGGACTGATAACAATTATATAAAAAAGAAATAGGCATCTATCGGAAAATGCGATAGGTATACGCCGAATGGTAGGTACGCTCCAAGCATATGTATATGTTCCAAGCTTGCTTACCATCTGTGACGTCTATGGAGTCGTTCTTCCCCTGATACTTGAGGTCGTGCAGGTAGTCTGGAAAAGAAGACGCGAATTATGTTAGAGCACGATGAGCCATGCACGCCTGGAACGTCATAGTTACAAGTTTATACCTACATTTCGGACACTAGAAGTTCAACCTTTTTCATTGGCGATGCACTGTAGTCTGCACGCTCATTTATCAAACATAAGAAGCCGACAATAAACACTCACAAGACCAAGGAAACTTGAAACGAGCAGTGTGGAAACAAAGATAAATACCTACTCGAAGGATTTAGTCAGATAAATTTTCACACCAGTTTTGAAAGAAGACAGGCATCCTTGTGGCGACTCAGTCATGCTTAGTAACGACGCTGACCCTCAACAGTGACCAACAATAGTTCCGTGTCACCACTCAGTTCGTGGCAGCCAGCCCGACCTGATATGGACTAATACTCCATTATGATGATTCACACGTAGTCCTGCCGGTGGCTCCTTTAGAAACAACGAACACATGCAACTTGGCCGTCGCCGATTTGATCAAACAAACAGCTCCCCACATATTCCTAAATCGTCGGCATTTTCCGAGTAAATAAGATTCACTTGCCGCCCACTGCGGGGTAATTCGCCGTCTTCTACACCATCTAAGGGGCCCATTTTTCAGCATGTGATCCAGCCTCGGCTATCACGGCCACCATCCCACCCGGCTGGTAGATGTGACTGATTGAGCCGTGCCCAGCACTCTGACCGGACGTGCGGCGCTCCGGGCCGACCGCGGCGGCGGCGCTCGCGGCCAGTGCCGCCTGCCATCCGCGGCGGCGGCGGCGCGGTGACCGTCTGACTCATCCCCCCGCGGCGGCGGGCAACGGGCGACGGAGCGGCACGGTACCGAGCGGGGTTGGGGCGGGCGCAGCGGGCCAACAGGTGCGAGGTGGCTCAAACGGCACCGCGGCCTGACGAGCGGGAGAGAACTGGTTTGGGATGGGAGGCGGCAGGGACACTAGCCAAACCAGCCCGCTGGAGAGACTCCTGCATGGAAGAGCTTGGTTGAGATTAGCTGTCTAGCCACCGTAATCGGGCATTACGAGGTGTTTTAGCTCATAATACTGAAATAAATAACTCTTCTGTACCTGCTTATACCGCTACTTTGTCAGCTTTCTTCATGGCATGAGCGTCGGTTTACCTTTCATGCAGCGCTAGAACTCATGTAAGCGACGTCGTGTGCCACTTTTTCGTCACGAGTTTTACGTCTCGTCATGAGGTGGATGACTCATGAGCGGGCTCCTGAATCGGGGCTCATATCGCTCTGCGTGCCTCCACGCGGCAGAAGGCCCGCCGCACGCCAAGCAGGGCACAGAGGGCTCGGCACAGTGTTTGGGGCGTGTATCGGACTGTCCCCCTCCTGACCCTCCCGGACACAGCGTGATTCATAAACCATGGTCAGCGGTAGCGACTGGTGGCAGGTACGGCGGCCGTGCCCGTGTCGGGTAGATGGAAGCAAGTGGATGGCGGTCGCGGACATGCAGATCGATCTCATGACTCGCGTCTCGCCCGGAACTCGAGAATAGCACCCAACCTCTCCGGTCGGTAACGCAGCGGCACGAGCAGAATAGTCCCCAGCCCGGCCTTGACGGCTGTCGTGGTCGGTCCAACGGTGAAGCAGGAAACTCGGTCGGCCCATGGAACGCCGCGTCGTGCCGACTTTACGAACCATAGTCGGACGTCGTCTGAGCAGAGACGTGCTGAGCGCTGAGGCGGTCTCTCCCCTCCCCCTCTAGCCAATGGCCATTAACTATAGGTTAAAGGTTCCAATGCCTACCTAATCGTTATGCATAAACCATTTGCTTGACACGTAGGTACGGATGCTATCCGCCGCCATGGCTGATCGGCATTTCCAACACAATGTTCATTCAGTGTCACGTTTCTGAATAAGGTCATGCACCACAGGCAAGGGTTTGCACATGTGCAGACCGTTTGCATTCATGTGCACCGTGTAGGTGTGTCACCGATCTGCATCCGTTCGACTCTCGAGGGAGGCTGGGGAGGCCGGCAGGTATCCCGGCATGACACCAAAGGGATGAGCAGGCGTGAGGATTGTCAACGTCGCTCGTCGCACTGCATGGAGGGAACGCGATGTAAAGGAGACGCACAGATAGCCCATGGGAAGAGAAACCAGCAGGCAGTGCCCAGTGCCCACCCCTCGCGTCCATCACACAGGAAGGGTGGACACGGAAAGGGAGTCCATCGCCCGTGCGGTGGGCGGCCCGCCCCCGTCCCCATCCGGAAATTCCAGCGCATCGCTCAACCACGGCGGTGTAGCTGTAGACAAGCTCCAATCACACCGCACCTTTTCTGCACTCGGGCGAGCGGGTTCCATGAGGGGTAGTTTGTAACATTCGGATCGTTGCTAAGCCTTGCACCACAATCAGATACCATAACCGCGATTGTACGGACGGTTGAATTCGTCTCACTTTCCCGAATCGGTGATCGCGAACATCTAGATCTCTATCACAGAAGGACAGCTACACAACCAAAGTGCCCGCTATATCCGAAGATAACGACTCAGGCGGTGCAGAAAACAACGTAACAGCTACCCACAGATAACAGGAACACTTATTACACAGATAACATAGCACAGAGGTTCGTGAGAAGGGAGCGGAACATCAACAGAGTAACAGACGGCTCATGGATCTGACAGTGGCGGCGCCACGAATTTTCGCCAGTGGGGGCAAGCTTGAGACTGACCCGACTGTTGTCTGATAACGCCGATCTGCAAAATCCATGAGCACCTTGTCCCTAGATGTTGTCATTCAAAATTATTTTGGTTTCAGGTTTCAAGGTTTCATGCATAGGCGTATTGAGTTTAACCATTAACCCTCGCGGGCCCGGAGGGGGGCGTTTTTCGCCTCCCCCTGGCGAATATTTGCGATACCTCACAAACGCTTAGGGATAGAAAGACGAAACTTGCTGTACCTTATCCCCCATTAATTTGACATCTTTTGAAGCATAAAATTTGGACCTAGCCTCCTTGATAATGTCTCAGGGCCGATCTTTCTAGACTCCTGCACGGCAAACTTCGCCGTCACAGACGTGAACTTCAACCAGCTGCCAAAAATTGAGTTTTAGAGATAAAGACAAATTACGAGCACGGTTGTGTAGCATTTGACTAGAAAAAAATACTTAAGTAACTTTGGTGACCTGAGGTCAGAGGTCAGGGCAACGACCCCGAGCTGGGGCTTTAGTTTCTTTTTTTTTCGCAAATAACTTCAACAAAAATGGTCCTGGAGCTACGGCAGTGGTACCTTCGCATTAGTCTTGTCGAGACGCGTCGAATGACATATATATTGTTTGGAAAAGGTTAAGTTTTATGTTGACCTCATGCGACCTCGAATGACATTTGGTTGATTTTTTACACATGGAAGGTCATTTGTCATGATTTCGTAGCCGCTGATCACGATTCTGGGCCTCTGGCATCCATTTTGCTGTAAGCATTCATTTAGAGCCTCAGTATGGAGCATTCATTTAGAGCCTCAGTATGGCAAAACATGTCTTAATTATTATGCCTGACTTGAATAGTGAAATAGCCTCTAGCAAGGATACTCTCTTGTGACTTTGACCTTGTAGCAGCCTTGAATCGTAAGCTAAAGCACAAATAAGGGTCCGCTAAGCTTGAAAACATATCAAAATATCTCGGAATTTAGTATACAAGATATAAGAAAAAGTGCAAAGTTTGTGGTCAATTTTGAGCATGATCGTGACCTTGAATTTGAATGTTATGCACATCATCGGAATCCACGGATTCTCTTCTTTTGTTCAACATCCCTTTTAGCCGATTTTATGCACCATGCCGTCCTCTGGAACACGTACTTTGAGACCACTACATAAATGCCGGTTTTTGCCTTTGACCTTGAATTCTGACCTTGAAAACTCACTTGTGGTCAAAAAGTTTAGGAGCTTTAGAATCTTCTCATAGATACTTTTCGTTTGGTACCATTTTTGTTTCCGTAGTTGCCTTATTAACGGAGTTAAACAGGGGGAGGGCTACCCCGGGCTGCGGCGGTTAGGATTACCCACGGGCCCGGCCGAAATAAAACTATAAAACTAGATTGCGAGACCCAAACCTGTGAAAACGTTATGTTGTTCGTTGAGATGTAATGATGTTGAGATGAGATGAGATGTGTGTTCCTCAAAACTATAGTCAGTACCTATTTCTCCTTTTCCCCGTAGTACGTACCTATATATGTGAGATTCTCTCACATACGATTGATATAGGTACGAGAATAAGCTCCATTAGGGCGATTCAATTCCAATAAAATATTTAATTTTCCAACATTCGACATTTCAACAATTCCAGATAACCCGGGATATACATACCTATCACATTTTGTCATACCTCTCTGAGCTCAGTCTCAGTCTAAGGGTTCCCAAAAGAGGGTGATCTCTTCTCTGGCCGACTTTTGATAAATTGCTTCTCAACCTCCTCGAGATCAAGCTCGAGGGCAGCCTTCTGGTGAATGAAAATGATTAGGAGAATGAGTGGGAGTAGGAGATATGCGACAGACGGTCCGAGAACGAACGTTCTGCTGACGCACTTGATACGAGGACCGTCAAAAACAGGCGTACAATTATAACCGCCTATAATGAATGTTCCACCGGTCTTCTGTTCTCCTACATCAGCCAAATTTTGTGGGGGCAAAACATAGTCTTGCCCCCACGGCCTCCTGCCAGTGGGGTCAGTCTGCCCCCACTGCCCCCACGGTGGCGCCGCCCTTGGGATCTGACCGGGGGAGAAGTCCGAGCCAGCTTGGGCTCTCCACACAATAAAAGTTTTCACCCATGCCCTCGCTGGGAGAGCTTGAAAAATCTCTGGACGGTGCATGCGTCTTAAATTTCACACCGGTTCCCCTGGCGACTGCCTCTGTCCTTCCCATGTCTGTCCTCATTCTTGGTAGATACTACATGGCTAACAAATGCAATCGCTGTTCCCTGGCACCAGGGTTGTGCTCGACTCAAAAAAAATTTGCCGACTCGACTCATCATTCAACTTCAGAAAGCCC